AACTTGGGCCAGTAAAGCAGTGTCCTCCACAACTAGATTGAAGAACAAAACGACAGCAACTTGTCTGTTCCCCTTCCCCTAATTCCCCAGTACTGTTCCCATCCCCCCAATTACCCAATAAAAATCTTTAAAAAAAAAAAATGGGAGAACTGGGTGAAGGGTAATACTAAAACTACTATCTTTGCAACTTTTCTAAAAATCTAAAATTATGCAAAAATAAAATTTATTAAAAGGGAATAAATAAATCAGGAGGCTTTCCAAATTTTTCTATGATCTGGATTAGTTCAAATAACATGAAGATTGTCTTTTCTTTGACAATTAGATAGAACTCTCATAAAACCGTATCAGCCTGTCACCTTTTTTAGTAGTAGAGCTCATCCCTTTTAATTTCTTCTACAGTCCACTCTGGTAACTTATATTTTGCTATAAAATTGAACATTTCCTTTAGATTTTCAAATCTGTTGGTCTAAACTTGTATTTAGTATTCTCTAATAATTCTTCTATTTTCTTCCACATCTTTGGCTCTCTTTTCCCTGAAAGTCATGTGCTTTGATTTTCTCTTTTACCTTAATAAGGCAGGCTAAAAGGTTTTCTTTTTTATTTATAATTTAAAGAACCAGTTTCCAGTTTTATATTTAATTAGTTCTCCTGGAGATTCTTTCTCAAATTGCATTGGTTTCAACTTATGGCCATATTAATTTCCTTCCTGCCTTCCTTTAAGCCCCTAGTTCTGTTCCTTTCTCTAGAGTATTCTCAGCACCTCCACCTTGACCTTAGGTCTGCTTCTCCCATTGGAAGTGCTGTGAAGACAAAGAACTTCTCCTTCCAGACCTCCTTACCACCCCTAGCACGGCTACAACCCTCAGGCCAAGGTAAGACAGAGGCTGCTGGGACTCACCTGGTAGACAAGGAGGTGGGGTCCAGGGTCCAGATGAGAATGCAGCTCTGGCAGGCCACAGCCAAGACAGAGGCACTGAGGGGCTTCCAGGCCAGAGCTGCCACATTTCGCTGCAGCCGGTGCTTCAGAGAGGGGACTATAGTACTAGAGTGAAAGGGTAGGGGACTGAGGCAAAGCAGGGACACTAAAGCTCAGGAGACCTGAGTCAAGTTGAAAGGCAAATCCACAGACCAGAAAGCTGATCATCCAGGGCCCAGGGGTATTGTGGGACAAAAGGGTAGGATGGTTAGATATGGATAGAGGACACATCCAGTTCTGGAAGGAGCCCTGTGGACCAGGCCCAGGAACTATAGGACTCCCCTTGGACCAAGGCTGGAGAGGGAAAGGGAGACTAATGGAGACTGAAGAGTCAGAGCCTGCCCAGTAGGCCCCCAACATACCTGTTGGCGTTATATACACGGATTGAGTCATCTAGCAGGGCCACTGCAAACTTGTTGGTATGAGGGTGCCATGCAAAGACCCGCAAGCAGCAGCTGGACCTGGGGCAGGAGTAAGCATGAAGAGTCTGAACCCGCACCTACCCGTATCCCAGCCTAGAAGCTCAGGTTTCCTTCCACATGAGAACACTATTGTTTTTCACTTTTCTTTTTTTGGAATGTAGGAGTGAGAATGTGGCAGCAGTCAGGAAAAGGGTAGGAGCAGTATCTGCCTTGACTTCCCTCTTCCCTAAAGAAGTTTCAGGGCCAGCCGAGTGGCGCGATGGTTAAGAACTGGCTTGGGACGCCAGAGGGGCCCGGTTCGGATCCCACATATGAGGGCCAGTGACACTGCCCTCCACAGCTAAGATGCTGAACAACAGCTCAACCTGGAGCTGGGCTGCTGTGAGNCGACAGCAACTTGTCTGTTCCCCTTCCCCAATTCCCCAGCGCTGTTCCCATCCCCCCAATTCCCCAATTAAAAAAAAAATCTTTAAAAAAAAACTGGAGGAAACAGGTTTTATGTTTATAATTACGGTGGGCAGAATTTTAGATCTGGGCGTCATGCAGCTCCTTCCCTGAGTTAAATGGACAATCATCCCTCTCCTTTCTGCAAGATATTTTCCACCACCAGACAAAAGAATAATGCTCTTTCCTCAATCTGAGGGGAAACTGAAATGACTGAAAAAGGGGTGGGGACCAACTCACCAGGATAGCAGCATCCACAGGTGAAGCTGAGAGCAGCCGCCCCCCACTGGGGGCCCAGGCCAAGCTGGTGACAGGTGTGTGCCCAGGGTGAGAGAGTACTTGTGCACAGCCAGAAGAAGGTCTACGAAGGGGAAACATGGTATGGAGTCAGAAGACAAGAAGAAAGCCCCATGATTCTATTTCCTTGCCTCCCACTAAAACTTCCAAATCCCAATGGCCCCTTGGAGCTGAAATCCAGGTTGGGGAAAATGAATAAGGATCATGGAAGTTAAAAAACAAAGAAGGAAGGGCAATGTCACCACCAGTAGGTCCATAGAGGAAACTGGGTGAAACGGAATAAGCTTTCGCTGGGCCTCAAGGAGACAAAAACTTCTGACCAGTAAAGCTAGAAGGTGCTGAGTTGGGGAGATGTCATGCTTTGCCCTAAGTGACAGCCCTCTCCCCACTGGACCATCCCATCTGGGGCCTGGGATAATCCGTGATGTTACTACCTCAAGGGTCCAATCTATTCTCTTTCCAAAGTCATCTGCCACTCCCCAGAACTCATCCTGTGCTCCAAAACCTGTCTTCCTGTCTTTCCTTGTCAGAATTAGTCTCTCTCTTCTGCTCCCTCATTCTTCTCTGCTTGTCAAAAAGATGCTGCCTGTGGGTTGGCCTCCATCACTAGGCTGGGAACTTCCTGAGGGCACCACTGTGTCTCAGCTTTGCATCTCCAGAGCCACATACTTGTCCTAATAGGTACAGGCTGCTGCCTGAATTAGTGCCAGCCTCACCCTTTTCCACCTAACTTTAACCACTTTTACCTTCAATGAGGTCTTAGGCCACCAATCTACAACTTTAACTTTACAGTAAATCATACTTATCTTTTCAGGTCAGTTCATAGAGACCTATCTCATTCTTTTCAGTGGCTCCACTGTAGTCCACTAAATAGATAACTATAATTTATTTAGTCATGCCGCCACAAATAAACATTTCAGTTGTGTGTAATTTTTTTTTGCAAACTGCTGCAAAACATTATATCTATGTACTCATCTCATTATTTGTGTAATAGAGTGTTAAACTGGAATTGGGGGTAATAAAGGCAGCACCTTTAAAAAATAAATATGCCAACAAGTTATTTTCTGAGTATATACCACAATATACTCTCACCAACTGTGTATAAAAGCACCTGTTTTCCTATTCTTACTAGTACTGGATATTATCAAACATCTTACTTTTAATAATACTCTCATTCTGAATAGGCAAAAAATATTCTATATTTTCTTCTAGTTCTTTTATTTTTACATTTATTCTTTTGTCTGCTTGGTATTTATTTGTATGTAAAGTGTGAAGCAAGGACTATTATTTTCTAAATGGATTGTCAATTATCCCAACACCCACCACTGAAAAAAAAAAGAAATCTTAACTTCTTCATTGCAATGAAAAGCCACATTATCTTATTAAATCTCCATATATTCTTATATCTGTTCCTGAATGTTATTCTGTTACATTTGTTTGTTCTTATGCCAATAACTTTCTATTACTGTAACTTCATGAAATATTTTAATACCTGGTAGGGCAAATCTCTCAGTATTCTTCCTTTTCAAACCTTTTCTCGGCAATTCTTCCACATTCCTTCATAAAAACTAAATATAATCTTGTCCAGTTCACAAAAACAGACAAAACCCAGCAGAATTCTAACTGGAAATATACTTAATTTGACATCTATGATTAAACTTTTCTATCCAGGAATATAGCTTTTCTCCATTTATTCAACTCTTGTTTAATACTCTTCACCAACTTTCAGATGTCTAATAGATTAAATAAATTTAATAATTTATTCCTAGTAATTTCGTAATTGTTGTACCTATTGTAAATAGAATATTTTTTCCATTTCAATTTCTCAACTGATTACTAGGAAAGAAAAGCTATTATACTTTCAGTGCCTTGGATCCAGTCACCATACTACATTTAAATTTTTTATTAGATCAAATAGCTTTTTTTAGTTGAATCTCCTGTTTTATCTAGGTATGAAACTATATCATCTTCAAATAATAATTTTATCTTCTTTTTCAAGACTTTACCACATTTCTTTCTCTTGTCTTACTCCACTCAATAGAACCTCCAAAAATAATGTTGATTAATAATGGTGACAATATCTCTGTCTTTATCTTAACATTATTGGAAATACCTTTAGTATTTTGTATTTCCGTTTAATATGGTAGCTACTGATTTTGAGTAAATACCCTCATGTTTAGGTTGTCTCTTTGTATTCCTATTTTACTTTGTGCTCTCAAATGCAATGTCTGCTTTTTTTTTTTTTTTTTTAAGATTTTTATTGGGGAATTGGGGAAAGGGGAACAGACAAGTTGCTGTCGTTTT